GTAATTGGGGTGTGTGCTTCTTATAAATTGTGCCTTTTGACCGTGGTTCCGTGGCATATAATTAATATTAGTTGTTGAGTGCGATTCATTTGAGGGTGTTGTGGGCAAACATCGTGGCATATTATTAAGGTGGTATGGCGATTTTCTCACGTAGTGTCCACTAATTACAGACGTAATGTCGTGTAGGTCGTTACTTTTGACATCGGCAAACAGGGATAGGTGAATAAACAAACACGAAGCAAGGGGTGTGTGAGCGGACAAACAGCATTAAATCGTCATAACCTCGCCTGAAACAACACGTTGTTATTACGAGCAACAGCCGCTGGTTCTAAAATTATTTAATCGTCGTAAATATTCACCGCTAGCATAAAATTAATTTACCGTGTTTCGATTTAATTAAATGCAAATATTAATGTCCGTATTTGATCGGAACAAGGTATGTCAGAGGGTGGAACGGAGACTAGTCGTGTCTTGCGGTCAAAAGATAGATATAGGAATTTTTTATAAGAGGGTTTATTTATGTTACAAATGAGGAGGAGGTGATGACACCGGCTTGGCGACATCAGGCCAGCCGGCCCCGGCTCGATGGGGGACTGTCAGAGATGTCACCACTATGATTAATCACCTCATTTTAATAATAACTTGACTGTAATGCAGTAGCTACAATATCACCTTTATTACGAAAGATACCGCCTGATGTTTGCTAAAAGACACGTGGATTAGGGAACAGTTTGTCTTATAATTAACTAAGAAAACGATGAGCTTTCAACGCAACACAAAAAATTTCTCCCCGAAGAGTTGTTATCAAAAGATCAGTCGAGTGACAGCAGGATATAACCACGCATGCACAACTGATCTAATATTGTCACCCCCGGAGCTATTTTATATCGCTTGGTGCTAATTCAAATGGTCACTTTATGAAACCATCCCACAGTACCAAAACTAGAAAAAAAAATCGATTCTTTTATTTGATATTTGAACTGTCGCAATTTATTTTTTGCTGCGAAGATACAATTAATAAAAATTTCATGTGACCGATATGTTTACGAGGGTATGCAAATGCACCAATTAGTTAATTATTGTTATTGTCAATTCGCGTGCACCAGTTTGCGTACCGCACATCCATAAATATGTATGTAAGACAACGGTGGCAAACCGCGGGTGTCTGTCTGGGTGCTCTTGTGTTCTAGTTCCCTCGCGTGTTCCCTCGAGTTCACAAATCACATGCAGACCACGTCCCAAGAAGAAAAAACGCCACGACACCATCCGATACCCTAATTGTCGGCATGCTCCGAAGAGTCATAAGCCGCCGATGACAAATGATCTCGCAACTTTTCGTCGCGATTTGAATAAAAAATAACATTCGCGAAAGTTAATAATGGAAACGTGAATGGAAATCTGATTTCACGCCCGAGCTTTTATTTTAAAGGTGTGTGATTAGTTTTTGACAACGAAGATTTTAAATTGGGTTTTAGTACTTTGGAATACATTTTCAGAAATGTAATTTGTCGACGCAAGGGGATTTACATTCCTTTTTATTTTCCGTGTCATTTCCTCGAATTTTAATACTCCAACTTTGAGAAATTTATTCATTGAAAATCCACTCGACAACGTTCGCCATTTTAACACCGATGTTTGTCGTTTCGTCTGACATGATGGGTTAATTAAAGACAAATGGGATTTACAGAAACCGTGAAATGGGCGTCTTTCATCATACTCTCAAGACAGACAACATGTGCTCCACTATGTCACTACTAATTAGCTTAAACATCACAAATTTTCAATTTAGAAATTAAAAACAACACATCAAACACAAACTAATGATATTATCTCATTTTATCCACCTAACACAAAAACGGTTTAACACATTTTACTATTGCACTTTTCCATAAATCATAAACTAGGAAGTAAATTAAAAACCGTGAACGGAAATTAAAGATCGATGAGATGATAAGAATAAAACATATGGTTAAATGCCAAGCACTTGGCAAAATTGCCCAAATCAGCCCTTCGAGGAAAACGAAATCAAGTCAATTGGGGTGAAATAATAAAATCGCTCAATCAAAACCAGCCCAACCGACTATAATTTAAAAAAGAACTAAATGTAAAATTAAATTAATTATCTAAAAAATAGGGTTGCAAGCATTTCATGCTAAAAACACAAAAGTAAATAAATAATAATTTAAAAAAAAATACATGAAAAAATATGTACTTTTATTGACTTTTATTTAGTTCTTTCGTAAACCGCAAAATAAATCCTTGAATAAAGCTCGACAGTAACAAACGATGCGGCTTTAAAAAGAGGGGAGCTTTGGCTAATTAAAGTTACCACCTTTTGGAAATATTCCGGATGATCGTTAAGTTGAAAAGTAATCGTTCGAACGCAAAGACGTAATAAATAATAAGAATTTAATAAGTTAGAGGGTGGTCTTGTTCGTCGAGCAAACGACTCTTTGAACTGTCAAGACAGGTGTAAAATATATAATCCAATCACGTAGCCACAATGGCGAATCAGAAGTTTGCGACAGATTTATATCGCGAGCTTTTCTATTAGAGGAAAGAGAAGGTTTGGTGGTATTAATAACGACACGGATGTAATTTTATGGACTTCCGACACGCCAGTGCCTAAATAAGAAATAAATGTAATTCGTCCAAGTCATGATGTAATTTATGAAGTTGTGACTTAATGAATTGTTAACAAATATTCAAAACTGACTTCCTGTATCGCTTGGAAAAATCCTTAATTTCGCATGACGTTTGCAGATCTGTAGTATAATTAATGATAACACGTAAGATTCGTGTTGGCCCTTATTCGCTCCCTTGTAAGGGTGATTCCAGGTCCGGACTGTGAGGGGGGAACAAGGCAAACACGCAGGGCGCTGCTGCGATGACTCGTGTTTGTTTGAATAGGACGGACCGTATTCGCAGCTGATAAGGCTGCGAATAATTAATCTTAATATTACATTCTTCGATTGCTAGTCCATCTGATGGAGGCTGAGGCCTACCCTTTTTAAGACATTTTTGTTTGTTTAAACGAAAAGTGATCAATTAATTTAGTCAAGTGCAAGAGTCTTATTACTTTATCGTCGAGGCAGTAGCCGAGTGAGTGACGATGCTACACTTCACATGGCAAAATATGCGATAACAACAAAGACGAATCATTTATTTATTTTTTGCTGACAGTTTTCATTGGCAAAGAATGTCTCATTAACGCCTTCGGTTTATCTACTTCCACGCATCTCTTAATTAAAGCTGCGGAAAAAGCTCCAACCATATGTCAATATTAAATTACAAATCTACAATGGACCCAATTTATTCAAGGTTTGATTTATCGACATCCCCGTTCGTGTTATAATCAATAACGTCCCGTTACCTCTGCGATATCATCTCGGGGTCAGGTAGAAAACAATATTAATATTTACCAAACAATCAATTCCCAAATCCCAATATCTGCAAGATTCTCAGGAGTAATAATCAAACCGGCTTTAATAAACTGTCACTTTGTTAATATCGCCGAGTTATCAGTGATATTTTATAAGGCATTATTAATATTCATAAACAGTGCAGATGTCGGTTGGAAGAAGTTCTGGATTCGCTGTGTCGGACTAATTGCCGCAGTCCGTGTTGTGACGAGGATTAATTAATTTTGGAGCCTTAATTCAAATTTAAATCGGCCAGTGTTTTGTTAATTCCGCTCTGTTAATTGTGTGGACAGCTCGGCGTAATGCTATTCGGTGTGAAATGCGTACCCGGGATTTGCATTTAGCCATTTATAAATGTTTTCACAATTAATTTGCAAAGACGAAGGTGGATGCCGTCTTTGTTTTGGATGCATGAGGAAAAGGGTTTAGCACAAACGTAAATATTTTCAAAAATTAACGAGAGCTACAGGTAGTGCCCGAATATAAACACAACCAAATTGCAACTGGCCTTAAATTAGCAAACAAATTAATTTACACCACAGTAATAATAATAAATAAGTAGGTGATTTGTGTTTCCTTCGAAGCAAATTTCATGAAGTATTCAAACCGCAATTTCGCTCACAATGCCATCGTCTAATCCGCGATTCACCCCTTGAGCAATGCAGTGGTAAAAATGCAAGTGCACGACCCGTAAAGTGGCATTTGTAGCGACACGCGATTATTCAGGATGTCACTAGTGGTAGCACAACGATTCCGACACTCACAAATCATTGGATGTTTCGTCGGTAAGCCCGGCTCTGCAAGCTCCGAAAGCTTAGTTAATCGTTTGACGTTTGACAAATATCACGCCGTATACCTATACCGAGAGCACTGTCAATATTTGGCTCTTTTGCATCACCGATTTTGCCTCAACTTATTACACTAATCAGTTTTTCTGACATAGTTGTTCCGGTTGAGTGAGGGTTATTTAAGACCCCCAGTGCACCGTATGCATGTATCAATGTTTATAATTATTGCAGCGGCGTATAATAAATTAAAAACGTGTTGGCTTCGTTAGATTTTTCAAGACTTAATTAGACGGGGTCCGCCCACTCATAAATATACCGAGAACTGTAAAAATAATTAATGTAATTAAACGTCAATTAGCTTTCTATCTAATTAAAATCGTTTAATGCTCGCATCTTTTTGTTAATCTTAAATTCGAGCTTCTGGATTCAATTGCAGCGGCTTGTGCACACAATTTACGTTAAGGTGGTCCATTTATTAATTAATTTCAATCCGGAAGCAAAACCAAGCTAACAAATAGCCACTAGTAAATCATTCAAACTATCAAGAAATTTGTTTTACATCGGATAAACTTTAGAAATTCAACCGGTTTAACCAAGCAGATGAAACTCAACCTTTATTAATATATCATCCTTTCCAATTATATTCTTTTTATATCCGATCAAATAAAATTTCTTGAGTAGGATTCATAATTTATGTTCTTAATTAAAAAAGTAAATTTAATTTTGAACAAACCAAATAGAGTTATTGACATTTCGATAGGTCTTATGCTAGTCCAATTAGTCAACATACCTTTCTAAATGTTTGACGATGTCTTCGTACGCGGCTCTGCAGTTTTCCCATATGCCTGACCTATAAAATAAATAAAATATTAACCAAAACAACATTCATCAACAAATCACTAGGTGTAATCTTCTTTTCCAATGTAAAACTTTTTAAAACTTTACAACCTTTTCCGTGAACAGTTATTTTGTTAGAAGCTCCGAATTGCCAAAAAAATAATAATAAATGATTCTGCTTCCATATCAAGAATAATGTATCAAGTCAATTTTTCCAACAGAGAAACGTTACCAAAAACTCATGAAGTTTTTGCTCAAATACTCGACAATTTTTTTAAGTGTTTTATTTTCTTGCACGAACTTACTACACTCGCTAAATCTTTAGTTTTAAACTTTATTTCTTCTATAATATTAGTAGGTTGGTATATTTTTGCAGTGAAACATTAGGATTTATATTTTTCATAATGAAGAAGTAGTTGGAAAGCATAAGGTTAGACAACTGTGTTTTATGTATTATCCTGGTCCTATTCTGTACGTCTTCTCGCCGCTGTAAACAGCTTATTTGACTTGTTTGGCTTCAAATCTTTGCCTAAATTGTCGATTTGGAAAATCTTCTCGTTCTAGTTCCGACTTGGGCTTTTAATGGTAGGTTATTAGTAGAGGCCAACGCTATTAATCAATACAATCAGCGTTGAGGTAATGGAAATGGGATAAAGCGCCCAATAGACTGGTAAATTAATATTTGTATTCAATTTATTTGTATGTCGAACATTGAGACAAATGCGAGGTGAATAAGCTAGACAGTCTACCTGGAGAATTAATCACGGCGCTTCTTCATGACGTGTACACGCATCCAGCGGCCCGGATTTGCATTTTAATTACAGGCGAGCGTTGAAATGATAATGATGACTTGAACAACCGTGTAAACAAGACGAGGAGTGCAGTCTCTTTACGGCCGACTCGGATTAAGACACGAAAGAATATTGCTACATTTTTAGCTTTATTGCAACAAACGAATAAGCCTCCAAAACGACTCACTTCAAGACATTGATAATGCAATTGCTGTTTTATTTTTAAATTGAGTTAGTTATAAAAAAACACAAACTACGTGGAAAATGCACTTCCCGGAAAATCCATTTTGGCTTCGCTTTCTCATTTCTTGTTGTCCTATTTGGCGTACGATTTGTAGGTAGACGAGCTTAGTGAACATCAACAATTCCAGTAAGACGATACCTCTGTTTAGGAAACTAATTTGACTTGGGAAATTTTGTATGTAATCCTGTTGTTTGTTGTATTAAATATTGCATAAACTCAACTACTTTCAAGTTAGGCGCTAAGATTTCAAGCGCGATCTTTGAACTTAAATCCTCAACTTGCCGAGTTAAGACACGAAAGGGTTACAGGATTAGGTCCGAAAACGCGTCATGCATCATTCACTTTACTGGACTTATACTTTATCGCAGCCATAAGTTGGCGTTTCAAAGGATTTAACTTGTCGTAGATAAACATTTCAGCAAATAAATCATTGGAACATGCTTTCAGCGATCATTACTACGCACTTGAAATCAAATATTCATAAAGTGAAACATATCGCACTGTTACGATATCTCGGTACTCAGTGTGTGTTAAACAGGCAACAACAGTTTTCCTTTGTTTTCGCGAGGCAATTATTAAATTCTTTCAGAAAAAGCATTAAACGCGCTTTGTTTATCTCAAACTTGAATAAAATCGCATATAAGCGAGTGTAATTTTTTTGTATCTTGATCGCACCAATTAACATGTTTTATTTTGTTTTAATAACTTTATTTTATGTGTGAAAAGCACTAATGCAACAAGGAAGCAAGATTACACATCATTTCTACAATTTAGAAACTCATTTGGAAAAATCAATTAAAGACAGCAGACGTCATATATCATGTAATTAAAATTTATTTAATGACCGAAGTAAGACAAATGGTGCATAGTTGTTTGGAGCCACATTATGTTGATTAATTTTTTGCATTTACTTCACTGAGGTCTCAAACAAGAGCATTAAGAAAATTTATTCAACATACGTTCTAGTAATAAATCGCAAAAGAGACCGTTTATCTACTGAACATGATCGATTATCTTATTAAACGTTTGTGATGAGTTAACGACAAAAAATGAGAAACGATGCGATCTAGTGATTTATATCTTGAATTTTCACAGAATAAAATGTATAGTAGGTCAAATTGGACCAGCTGCAAGGTTTTCACTTTTTATTTAATTTTTTTCAGTTTTGCCTTGTGAGAGATCGCAAATTCCTCATTACCGGTTACAATGAAAATCGTTAACTGAAACTCACACATAAATAGTCTAGCCGTAATTAATTTACGAGTTTATTATGACCATATAATATGGCAGAATAATGTTCGTTTTGCGTGATTTTTTCTGTTATTTTTCTGGATTTGGCATTAAAATGTAAATGGTGGCATAGAGGATTAGCATAATGAGCAATTTTGACATTTCTCATTAATGGTCAATAAGCTACCGAAGCAATAATTGTCGTATGTTAAAAATGTTAATTACCTCGCAATAGCCTCCATCGTGGGCATTCCTTGATTCTTTATGACGGAACCGTCGTGTCTTGTGAGATTGTGTGGCATGGCGGGCGACAAAAGTGCCGAATGTGCAGCCGCCGGATGAGGAAGTTGCATAAACTGCATGTGACTTAAATGAGGAGGATGATTGTAACCGTTCGCCAAGAGCGGCGATTTTTCTAGTCTTGACATATCTGTAAAAGAGAATATTAATAATTAAATTGTCATCACGGCGTTTTTTCTTCATAACCGCCAATTTCAGTCCCAACGTTTAATTATCGTGTGTGAAATATGCTGGCCTTTTGAACAAAGCAAGCGTAAGCGATCGCTCGACTCTTCAGGATTTCTGTAGCGACACGGGATGATTGATGAGTACCATCGAGTTAATTTCTCATGTGTAAGTTGTGTGGCCCATCAGCAAAGCTTAAATAAAATGGATACTGACTAATTAAGCGACTAGTTAGTTCAATGCACCTGTGCTTTATAGCTATGCATCGCCAATAAAACTGACCCCCGTCGGCTTTTTGATCCACTTAAGGTCGCATTCGCGATGCGTTTTTGCCATAAACCAGTTAAAGGGAACAATAATTCCTTGATAATTAAGCCCGAGTAATTATTTCTGTTAATGAGGGTGGTGGGAAACCGAGGTCGCGGGTCGAACCGCAGGGTGCCGCAGCATCCCGCTGTGCCCCAAATCGCCTTTCATAGATACACATAAATATTATTACCTGCAGTTTCAACTGCACCATTTCGCCGATTCCATTCTCGTAAATATTCTTTTCGGCGACTCAAAGCTAACTACACTCGAGGTAGGAGTCATGACCGATCACGAAAATACTTCAAACGTCGGAAAACTGAGAAAATTATAAACTTTAATAATATATTGACAAAGAAATTCTCGATGGTGAGGGAATAAGGTCATGGTCAGCTCGTAAATGCCTACTTCTAACTTCCGAATTGCCGATTAACATGTAACATTTAATTATAACAATTACACGCTTTGAAAAGTTCAAACCAAGTGTTATTTCTTCAGGAGTGTGCTGTATAATGGGTTGCAGCACGCTGAAAATACACCTATTTCAAGTCCGTGATACAACTAAATTCAACATTTTTCAGGTTTCAGACGTAAAGTGCGATAAAACTTTTATAAACACACCAACAGTGTTGGACTTTAACTGCACCATCAATAACACGAAACTAATACAATTTGAATTTATTACTATTAACTGCACTCTTATTTTTACTAAGTATGTGTTATTAATGTTATTATTATCAGTGGCGTATTATAGCAGAAGCCTAAGAAGCCCAGGCTTGGGACGCAAAAATTCCAAGGAGCGAAAAATTTTGAGAAAGAATTTTTTTTCTTTTAAGAAATAATAAAATCGTGTTTGTCGGAGCAAAATAAACTCACGGTCATTATTTTTTCTTGGAGCAATGTTCGCTCACAAAATCACAAGGGTTTCTCGAATTACATTATATATTTGACTTTGAAAGCTATTATGACCTGTTTTTGGAAGACAATACTAGGTAGATTCAACCAAGTGAACCAAAAACTTCAAGCTGTGAATATTGATCCTGTAAGTAATCAAATTGTGTGATAATGCAAGTTACCAGTAAGTCACTAGAAAAATGAAGAAGAGCTTGAAGCAATTTGATGAGACAGGAGGAGATCGAAACGTAGAATTCAACAGAAAAGATGAATTTCGCATTCTGGTATTTCTTCCACAGATCGACAAGCTGAAAGCTTAGCTTTCCAAGAGGTGAGAGTCGTGTTTAGACATTATTAATGAATAATTCGAATTTTTGAGTTCCTTTCCAGTTATCACCACGGAGAAAATCAAAGAAAAATGCTCAAAGTTGGTTGAAACTTACAAGAATATCTTCATCATCACTTGGAAGGCAAATTGCTTCAAATCAAGGACCTCTAGATCATTCGTCTAATAAACACTTGGATTTACAAAAATATTGTGATTTTGTTGAGAATGTTTGCTTCTAAACTGGTGACTAATTTTACAGGTGAAAGATCGTTTTCAGCATTGAAGAGAGTAAAAGACTACCACAGATCAGCAATAATGTGCATCAAAAATGAAGTGGTCTCAGTTTTGTCAAAATTATTAACGTATTTGTTGACGAGAGAGGGAGAAAGAAAACTTTTTGAATCAACAGTCATTGTTTTTATATCATCTCTCATTTTTTTCTTTTTATTTTTGAATTAACATTAATAATAATAATGTTAATTGAATTAACAAAATTAATAAAAAAAAAGGAACGAAGAGAATGATATCAAACACTAAAATCTAAAAAAACTGTTAGTGAAACAGAATAAATCAATGAGGGTAGGGGCCGAAATTTTCTTAGGGCTTTGGGTGCCAAATTGGGTTAATACACCACTGATTATTATAACAAAATATGCTAAATTAATTTAAACTCGAAATGAAGAAAAGATTAATCTGATAGCAATTCTAAAACACAACTGAATAAACAAAATTAAAAAAATCAAAATATTTTCCGAGATTTTTACAACAATATTCTTATTAATATGACTACATAGATGAGAATAATTAATGTGTGTTGAAACGGTCATTAGTGAATTATTTAAAGACTTTAAATAAAATAACATACCTCTTCGCATCATTATGTCAAGTGGAAACTCGGCTGTAAAAGAATAAAATAAAGAAGATGAAATTATTACACCAGTACATAATTAAGACAGATGTGTTAATAATGTCCAAGCTTTCACTACCAGTATTTACAAAAACGAAAGTTATTATTAATCGTTAATGTTACTCAATTAAAATAAGTAATGCAAGATGACTCAAGACTACCCTTTTTGCCCTTCCTATCTGTATTTCCAGGCCATAAACGATTTAAAATTAACTCCAACAGACTGGTTCTAGACAATTTTAAAGTGGTTTATTTATAATCGCCCACTTATCTTGAAACATTGCCGAATATAGTTTTAAGGGTTATAAATGGCCTCAAGTATTGGAAATTCAAAGTAATTTTTACCTGTGGAAATTATCCAAATTGACACAGATTTACAACTGTTACATTCCAAAGAGATGTGATTGGAGTGCATAGCAGGAAAAAAAGAAGACGGCGTTAAACGATAAATTTATAAACAATAATTTGGCCCATTCAAAATAATAATAGCTCGAATTATTTTGAAATTGCTATAATCAAACGTTTAAAGTCATCGAGATAACCACGCTTAAACGCAAAACAAATTGTAAATGGGATCGTATAAAATTATACAGGCCAGAAAAAATCGCCGCAGGCTCTTGCTCCGAAAAGGTGCATGTCATTCTGGAACGATTTGTGTCGACTATTCATTAGGAATTAGTTGAATTGCTATTATTGTGAGTCGTGAACGATTTTAAGAGCAGGTTTTGCGGTTTCGACAGTTACAGAATTAGAACCACTGATTTGTAATTATTACTATTCGACCGCTGGGAAGTGGCATGCCTCTCATATTTAGAGAAATATTTACATATCACACATTTGATTGACACCTTAATGAAATAATGGCATCTCTCGAAATTGATTAGGCGCGAAGTTGAAATGCAATGCGTTGGTGTGATAATTTTGCAACTTGCAACAGGAATCTCTGGTCGACTGCAACTGCTTACAATGACGCCACGTCAAATCATCATCAAGAGAATAATACAATGCAATCCCTCTCGGACACTCTGTATCTACCCCCGACTCTAACATGCGGATAATACAAAGCCATAATAGGGTTTGCTTGCCCATCCGTTAGGAAAATATTAATATAAAAAATAATAACACTACAGTACCATGTTTTCACGGCTCAATTCACATTGCTATATGTGTTCTTTGTATTATACGCCTCGCGGAACCACCCGACGTATCGTTTTACACAATGTATTACTATTTTAATTTATTGTTAAGAATTATTATTGCTACAGTCATAAACATGAGGTGTATGACCAGAGCGGCGTTCAAAAAATACAAATACAAAATAAAATAGTCTGCGTTTATGTTAATTCACATAAGTGTGGTAATTTCACAACTCGTTGACACGTTTTTCTGCGCAAAAATTGCATGTTGGGTGTTATTTTCGAAGCAAAAACGGCGGAGAAGGATACTTAGACCTGTCATGAAATGTATATTCACGTAATTTTGAAGCGTATGAGCGGAATTTTAAGAATTGTTAGGGTAGTTGTGAAGAATCGTCTGGCCGACTAGAAGCTTTGTGCATTCGGATATGAAAAGTAAACAGAGTGATATGCAGGCAAAGTACGATATCATATTTCAATTGAAGGGGATGCAACAGACTCGACATCGGCAGCAGTAGCAGTTGTGTGGCCGGCCCCTGCATTTGAGTTCAGGTACCTGCTGGTGCATTTTTGGTGAATTAAGGTCGCCACATTAATGAACAGGGTCTGGCGTTATTAAGCACAAACACCATAAAAGTGGTCCTATGAAAAAGGCATAAATTGGTCCGAATCGCAAATAGAAAATAACCAAGACACATATGTGGACGCATCCAATCAAATATTTTCTCATATTTTACAATCGTTTATGACACAATAAATAAAAGGGATAAAGCGTATAATGATGACATAGAATAGTGGTTGTAAAAACGGAACTGTAAAACCCAGATCCAATAATAATTAAATGCCATCGTTAAAACAAACGTCGAGGATAATCTATAACTCTTCATAAATAAAAGACCGAAATTAAATAAGTGAATGAATCGTAGAGATGCGGAGCTTTAACAGTCCGCCCGAATCGGCTTAACATATCTCCAAGACTCTGACAGCTACAAGTTTCGTGTGCATCTAAATGCCTGCCCCAACTCCACAAGAGCGGTTCTTAATTAATTACCCAACCTTGCACGAACCTAAACCTATTTTTATGCGAAAAAGCGACAAACCTTGAAAGATAAAGTCGTCTGGAATCGGAAAAATATTTTTCAAGATTTAGTGTCGCCGCTCGCAGACTGAAAAATAATTAATTCTCCTATCGAACAACTCGTCGCTTCATCGGTGTTAAAACCTGATTATTATTATAATGAATATTTTACGACTCATCTCGATTAGTACATTATCATCAACTTAAATGGTAATTTTATTATCCGCCTACTTCTGATACTGAATTCGAATATTCCTAATGCTCAGGTCTCTAATTACGGGTTGTCACTGTTTGAAAAGCGGTGCTAGATTTTTATTATTCGTGTGTCTGTCTGACTGTCGGTCACTTAATACGGCTTAAATCGAGGTACTTCCAAGAAATGCAACTCAAATTGTATTAAACACCTCTTTTGTACTTATCGCCAATGACAACTCGACGGGGATTAACCCACACATGGGACTGACCCATTTAAGCTCAATTTCAGTGACTAAAGTCTTACGCAGAGCTAATTCGTAACGTTGGTAATTCCAAAATTATAAACCTAAATTCTTTCAAAATAACGAAAAAAAATGCGGATCTTTGAACTTTATAAAGGAGTGAATCTCCCCACTGTAGTTAATTTAAATGAGGATCATTATCAGTTATAAATCTATCCGGAAAATATTCCTGCATATAATAATTCTCTTTGCAAATGTTGCAACTATTGTTGAAACGTAGGCGGTAAGCAATTAGTCGGGAATCATCATGATCTAAATGTCTTATCTCCTCGGTTGTAAGTTTTATTTTCTTATAAATCTAATAATTAACAGCACCTGTCATGAGTGTAATAAAAAGTCACTTAGATAAACATCCAGAGTTCAACGTTTTAAAAAAAATAATAATCGCGGTTGTAGTTCGACATTTATATCCGGAAAGCTCTCTGGCGGAACATTTGTGATAAGAGGATGTGTAAAAGTTCGGTATATCAGAACTTAACAGGCGAGTCGAGTCGTGTTATTAGAGAAATAAAATAAACACTTTCTTAGTAAGTTTTTACGAGGCGAATTCTCATTTAGAGAGCGTCAATTACACTTGATGATTCTGTGATTCACAAGTTTTTATTGGATGCCTTCTATAATTAAACGTATTATTAGATTGCCCTCATCGACATCACTATACTTTTATAAGCTTTGGCTTTTTATTGTCTCTCATAAAAGATGATAAATATAATTAAATTATTTTTCGATTTTATTAGTTTATTGGACGTGTAATACTGTGTTAATGGACTTTTCACGACAGAATTTATCACATTCTGCGTGGAAATAATTTTCGAAATCCGGTCTTTACACAAATAGGAGCCAGATCGCATTATTTTATTAGACGGCGGTGTTATTGTAATTAACACCGGCTCGCTGCTAGGCCAAAGAGCTTTAAAGTGGTAATTCCGTGATAAAGCGCAATTAAACGAAAGGGCACTACCTTGGAGCGAGCCGATGCAATTTCGCATTCGGTCGAAAACGTATAAGTATATTAAATTGCACTTTTATTCTCGATAAAATCTTCAACTGACATGAGACCAAGCACAACAACCGGAAGTACTTACGTGCTGTTTTTGATAAGTCGTAAACGTACATGATTCTCGAATATTATATACCACTCGATTATTTTTGCATTTCTTTGAATATTTGTGTTATTCCGGGCACGAATTGCATGTGCACGGATATTTTCAAGCCGCCAATGATACCGACATCGAAATTTTCATTGCGAAACGCAGCCAAAGTTCAGGTATGTCGGTTATTAAACCTTTTGTTCGACAAAATCAGTAATAAGGTGCTGTTGCTGCGGAATTTACATAAACGCATTTTTGGGATATATTAATTACAATGCTGCGGGACAATGGCCGATTTTGCGGTATTCGATTACAAACGCTACCGAAAACTATAGTCTCACTTTATAAAAGCGCGATTTTTCTGCATCGTAAATTCCTGTATGGAAACTAATTCATGTTCTGATGCTATTAATTTAAAAAGATGCAATTCTTTAAGTGTTACAAGCGTGTGAAGACCACATTTATATTACTTCCATTCACATAATTAATATGTTTAGCTTCTTTTCCAACAGATGTAGGTAACGCATTTACATCAAACTCACAATTATCGAAAGATGTTCAAGATATTTACATCGAATTAAAAATTCATTTAAACATCACAATTGACGTTAATATCCGATGAATTAAACACATTTCTCAAAAAGAAATGATAACATCGCAAGATGCCGTAATTAATTTCGTTTTTGCAATATTTACGGTAACGTCCGTTAGTCTCACGTTATTTTCAAATATTTTACATTTCTACAAACCCTTCTAAACGATAAATCAAAACGTCTAGTAAATCTCGACAGTAATCCTCAAAGTTCAGTGATCTCGCATTTTAACCTTGTTGTGGTTATAAAAATTACAGGTATTTATACAGTCCATAAAAAATATGAATAAAAAGATCTATAAACAATAAAACTGAAACTTAGTTTTAGTGAGTAAATAGCAATAAATCTAACCCGAAAATGTTACCTGATCCAAATACCTTCCTCCTCCAAATTACTCAGATTGTATTGTGTATCGATACCATTTAATCTATTAATACTATAGATTATCTTAATTGCATACTAGAGGTAAATGACGTTTTTGGGAAGATGGTGTTATATTTCAGGTCGATATGTGACGTAATTAAGGGCAGTCAATACAGTTGGAGGGTCGAGAATAGATGGAAACAACAGCGTTTCCTTGTATGTTTGTTGTTTCGTGCAAGACATAATAAAACTTGTTGATCGATTTAGAAAAATGTTAATTAACTTCGAGAATGAAATACATTTTTCAGTAATTAAATCCGATGGAAAGGCATTTGTAATATGCTGTTATATGTAGTAAGATACTCATAAACATTATCGAAAAATTCAAATCAAGATTTCCGCCAAGCTAAAAGCTTTTGATTTGAGGGTGATGTGAAAACATTCTAATTTTGCAGGTAGGACCCTGAGTGTGACCTAAACGTTGTTTGTGTTTTATTTGACTGACAATAAAAGCTCTGACAGCTGTAATGTGTACGTTATTAAGCGGGAGAATGTATATTTGAATAGACGTTCAGAGGGAACACTTATTTTACTGCTGTAATCAATAAATCACTAAAAGCTGTTACTGACCTTCGCTTTTGTTTCGAATGAAACACACAAGGGTCGACTGAAATGTTCTCTGAAACGTTCAAAATTAAATAATTTTCATGTCCTGACGTCGCTTTTGTCGATTTGCTAAAAGGTTTCAATCCAATCCAATTTTCTAGCACGACACTCAAAATATCTCTTTGTAGCAAGTGGTTATTAACGCAAAGCGAGACTTGCGGCCAGTCAGAAACAAAACCAAAACACAAAAACACCAACAATTTGTTCAATTAATTATTTAGATTTATTTTGAAGAGGGCAAGTTTCTGTTTTGCTGCGAGGATTAGGGCGTTGTAAGAGTCTACGAGCTAGGAATCGCTTGATTATTATTGTTCATTTGGTAAAAATTGCAAGACCAGCATTATGAGATTACGTCTTCTTGCGTGGCTATGTTATTAGAGTTGAGCTAGTATGATGCGATAATTGAAGAGTACTTACCACCCATGTGTCCGTTTTCGTACGGATAATCACCGTTGTCGAGGCGTTGTTTCTTGAGCTGTTGCTGTTGAAGATGCGATGCAGCGAGGCTGAGACCCACCGGCGCTCGCTTCGGAGGACGTCCGGGCCTGGAACTGCAAAATGGTAGAAAATTACTGTTGTAAAAAACAAGGTGAATCGTGAATTTTCTCATTCATTCAAGAGTGGTTCGCAAATAGTCTTGCCATCACTCATACGTTTCGTATGTTTGCCGACAACTCCATCCATTAGGTGGCGTCCGCCACAAATATCAGATATCGCACGGTCAGTCGACAAATCGACCCCTCTTTGATTTATTGGCTTCATTTCCGGATATCTACTGTCATACTTTTTCTTCATCCTACAACTCAATTACTCGACCCACCTAACTCCGGATTATTTATCGCGGACACAATAAAACAAACGTGGACGCGGCTCTACACCCAGAGAGGACAACTCTTCCTAAGCTCCGGAGCCAATTATTCGAGATGAGTTATGGCATGAGGAGAACAGTATAATACAAAAAAACACTTCATGGTCGGTGGTAGTCCGGTTGACCACAATTCGTTTCTAACTACCCACAGCGAGTCAAAACAGAAAAAAATCAAAACATTTCAATAATAGGTAATGTTTATTTTCAATGTTTCTAAAATTTTGTCTATAAATCAAAAATAAACAGTTAAAAAAAGAGAAAAAAATTGTAATTGACACTGTAATTTACATTTTATAAATTATTAAAATAATATGAGACAAATTTATGCTAATTTAAAGAATGATTAAGTTTCATTATTGTAATTGCATAATGGCTGTAAATAGTGTGCTAACCAAATTCAATTAAAAAAAAAACTCTTTATGTAGAGGAAATAAAATTTTGAGATTAGTTCATTTTATTTATTAAGTTCCACTAATCAGATCAGCTTTTGGTCAATAAATAACTCATTTTAAATAATGTAATGAGATTCTCGCAATTATGGCTTTATTGAACTGAGAGATCTGCTTGCTAATAATAAATGTAAACTGCAAATAAAGCACCTAAGCATAATTTACGGTCGGCTTCTCATTTACATTCTTTAGATATCTTTAGAAAATCTCGGTTTAGTACAAAGATTAAAATTTTAAACCTTGGATTTAGAAGCTCAATGGTTTATATCACTTTTCTTAAAAGTAATTTCATTGACCTCAGAAAGGTACTAACCGCACTTGTCATTCTGGACATTTGAAACAATAGAAGGAAACAGAATAGAAAGTTAATTAGTAGACGATATAACATTAATAATGTCTAATAGCACAGAAATTAACCTATAGTTATCGCACCGACAGCTCAATTTGTTTCATTAATAACCGTTGTGCCAATAGATTCGTGTGATCTTGAGATCCAAATTTTCTTCAGTCACTGTTTTAAATTATAGGCCAAGTAATGTTCAAACTTACACTCAACGTGTAAAGTTTTGAAGTAATTTTGTTAGATGAAATTGGTTGATCACTACATGTCTCGTTGTGTATCAGGATTCAGGAACGCGTCTGTTATAGGAATAGGCGGAGTCTGTTATAATAATCTCTCTCACGAATCCTGAAATACGATGTAAAATTTGAGGGCATTTAACTTTTTGTACAAAAGCATAATAACCACTCCTTATTGCAAATGCAAACCGGCAAGCTGAGGGCTTGAAACGGTTAAATGCGATTGGCGAATGCAGTCAATCATCAAAACCTATAATTACTGTCGAGGTTTTCGTGGCGTTGACCGTTTTTTTCTTCGTCGCTTACAAAATTTCGTTATTCGTAATTGACAAATTCACGTGTTCACGCATTATGAATCGAGTTTAACGTTCGTGTTATGTTAGAATTGATTTGCGTGAGTGCGGCGTTTGACTGATTGAAATCGTGTGAATTATTGGTAAACTGATCCCAATTGCGTCGAAATAGCTCCCTGCGGCTAGTGATTAACTCGTACGCTGATTCGTAAAATAAGCATTCATACAATTAGCACTCAATTCTGGTTAAAAATTCAATCCGACTGATTTACGAGCAAGAAACTTCGGTACAGTTCTGTGTCCGGCTATAAATTTAATCTCTCGGATATGCAAACTCTTATTGGCAAGCTTGCGTAAAGTTGCAATTACTGCTCCCTCGTGAACACGCATGACTTGTACATAATGTGTTCTTAAGATCAAAAACCTACAAAGAAGATTACAGAAACGTATAAAAATCCGGCATAAATGAGTGGAGTTTGAGTCGGTATCAGTTTCCTAATGTCTCGACGGAGCAATTGTAATTTTGAAAGAAAAGAAGCGTTTAGTCAAACGAAATGGCTTTTTTCTTACTTAATCTCAGATTATGAATCTTTTACGTTCTCCCGGAGGAATACCTGGTTGATGGCTGTTTTCCAAGGGGATATATTGCCTTTCCGTGAGTTTCGTCTTTTAAAGCAACTGTAATATGCCTCAGAATTACCTAATCGAATAAAACCAATTTTATTCCTATGCCATTTTGAACAAGAACGCAATTTCTAAACTCGCCCTTATTGATTTTTAATAAGGGGAGGACGCCCCAACCGCTCATCAAACACTAGGCCACTAGGTTTCACATGGATTTTACGCGAAAAATCTTCATTGTTGCAACTGGACCAGCGCAAATTGCTTTTATTTACAACACACACGTAAGAGGCAGAACAGGCGGCAATAAAAAAAGCACTAAAACGGAATCAACGTGTAATATTTTGTGACCAATATAGGCAGCTGTTAAACAGTTTATTCTTTTATCTACGTACACCAACAGCCTTGTTAACAGGAAGGTTAACAGTCAACTCAAGACGATACTGGGTAAACAATGTTTCTTTTCATCTTCTGTGATTTATGGCAGCATCACGGTGGCGCCTAAATTCTAAACTATAACTCTTGATTGGTTAATTTTATTCGACTTTATTACCTCCCAGATCATTACAGTAGGTGTTCCAGGCAATACAGCCATTCAAAATGGAATTTTTCACATGGAAAATCTTTTACTGTAGACAAATAAAACAAAGCTTTTAATCTCATCCAACTCAAACTAATTTATTAATAATATTTTTAAGCAAAAACAAATAAAACAAATATTAAATCACTTCAAATTCTTCTCTATGACACTATCTACAAAACATTTACACTTATTTGTATTTTTTCATTCATATTTGTTCTGTGATTTAAGCGATGATAACTCCTGCTTGCACAGTCACATTTACAACAATTTTTTTAATTTATTAGACCACGATTTAAAGTTTATTTACTTGAATGACGCATTTTTTGAATAGTCCTCAAAAATAGCAGATAAAATAGTACATTTTAAAAAACAGTGTATAAGTACATCTAGTGAGTAATGTTTATAGTTTACAGTTATTCTTATTTTATATATAAGATATAAGACTATTATTTTAGTAAAAGTCTTAAAATAACAACTCGCGACACCGGACGGTTTCAGCTATTATCGTAAAATAATAAATTATCGTAAAAATAATAAATGGGCTTTAAATAAAACAATCGTGACAGAGCCGAACTGGCCCACAAAATTAAGCTAATAAAAATTAAAAAAAATATCTTCTTCTTGTAGGTCAAAAATCATGATCACTGCTCTTGTACAAATCAGCAGCTCTATATCGTGATGTTTTTCTAATCATGTAATGCTGCATAAACTTTCCTAAACTTTCTTGAGAGTGATTTATGAAACCGTTTTAATACCGTAAAAAATGTATTTGTAACGTCTACTAATCCATTGGAAAGCTTCACCCTCGGCATTTAGAGTGTAATCTAAGGTAAAAGTCTGTGATTGAGCCGGTCGCATTTCGGAATTATTTAATTTTCCAGCTAAGAGAGCATATTTGTTTCCCAAGGCGTCTGAAGTCGAGTGTAACAAACTCCAAAATAAGCTAAAGGAGCTTTCCTGTAGGATCTTTTTGTGTTTCTATTTTTTGTGTTTGCAATTATTTGTGAAACGTGCAACTTCCAAGGCAGGTTAACGAGATCCTCGCAGTGTGCGGCAGTAGTGAACATCGGGCAATGAATCACTCGGGGATGGCCCCAGGGCCGTATTGTTTATCAGCTGTCCGGTAGCCGGCTCTCCCCGAGCTCGCGGTTATTGAGGCCGTTTGTATCATTCTGACAACATAATAGAAAACCACACTGTGCTTAGATTAAGGCCGTGCTCTCTTCTTCGGCCGTTTATGTCACGACCGGGGCTTTATTGGAGCCAATCGATAAGGTTTACCACCGAAAAGAAATATTTATCGCGTCGGTTGAACCGCCCGAAGATTCTCTCTCAAGTGGATGCATGGAACCGCCGCCGCGTTTATTTTCTACCGGATCTTCTCTATTACATTACGCAGAGGAAGTACAAGTTGTTTACGTTTCTAGACAATTATACGCACAAATATTTATATTCCAATTATGAAGGAGCAAGCGGAAGAATGCACTAAATTTTTTAACTATTCGTTTTTCCAACAGATATGTTACTAAGCTTACTTAAATATTTCTAAAACAAACAACGAGGTTATTTAAGTAAATCTGGCATAGTTATGAACTTCTTAAAATTGTTTCTGTTTATTTTAACTTGCTGTTTTATGTAAACTACTCATTTTATGCTATTCGCAACATTATAAACGTTGCAGTTATTAATAATATTTACTGGAAACTACATTCTAAAATAATGCCACGTTTTTCAACGACAAAAAATTTACCATTAATCGATCGATACCACACTTACGAAGTTATTTTCGGATTTAAGGGTTACAACCCTTATAAAAATACTAAAATCTATATGGAAGGGATAACAGATGTATCGCGAGCCATAAACCACCCTCCGGTGAAGATTACAGTTCCAGAAACTAACCCTTACGACTCCTAAACAAACAGCTCATTCATGTAATCGAATATGTTACAGATATGCCAAAAATCACAAATGACAAAGGAAATATAATCCCACATTGTTCACATTTCTATTCCAACAAAACAAACAAATATAAAAAACGATTAAATAAAAATCATTCTCACAATTTTATATCAGCTGTACCAAATCAAATTTGAATAACAAGTTCACAAGCTGTAATCCCATTTTACTCCAATTCAAATTAGTCGTACTA